CAAGCATAGAAACAAGAGGACAACTTTTTAACTTCTCTCTTCTCACCTTTATGTAGATTCCAGGAGCCACACTAAGATCGCCAGGCTTACACAGCAAGGACCTTTATCTGGTGAGTCGTTTACCGGCCCTCTTCCTTTCAGTTTTGTGAAATAGCTCGATGCTGCTCTTCATTCTTCTTTTCGAAGACATGGTAGAATTCTGTATTAGAGTCACCTAGCCCAGACCTCTTCTCAATTGGGAGATTTTTAAAAATTATTAGTACAATCATGTTGCTTGTCATAGGTCTGTTTAACTTTGGTAGGTAATTATCTTGGAGTTTCTACTGCTGTGTAGAGACAGTGGCAACTCTTACAAGGAAAACATTTAATTGGGGCTCAATTACAATTTCAGAGGTTCAGTCCATTATCATCATGGCGATGATCACAGCTGCATGCAGGCAGACATGTTGCTAGAGAGGAGCTGAGAGTTCTGCATCTTGTTCTGAAGGCAGCAGAAGGAGACTGAGTGCCATACTGGACATAACTTGAGCATATATGAGGCCTCAAAGCCCATCACAACAGTGACACATTTCCTCCAACAAGGCTACACCTACTCCAACAAAGCCACACCTCCTAATAGTGCCACTCCCTATGGGCCTATGGGGGCCATTTTCTTTCCAAACACCACAATCATAATTATCTAGAAAAGTGGTTCTCAACCTATGAGTCGTGACCCCTTTGGGGTACAAACAACTCTTTCACAGGGGTCACATATCAGATATCCTGTATACCAGATATTCTCATTATGATTCATAATAGTAGCACAATTACAGTTATGAAGAAGTAACAAAACAATTCTACGTTGGGTTGTCACCACGTGAGGAACTGTTTTAAAGAGTCACAGTCTTAGGAAGTTTGAGAGCCATTGCTCTAGAGAGTCATATACTTCTGTTAGATCTTCCAGTCTAAATGAGTGGCACTCATTTAAATCTTAAAACATGCCCTGATGACTTTCTGATCTCTTCTGTCATGTGGTGTCTCCTTTCCCCGTTTCTGACTTTGTACATTCGGGGCTTCCTCACCTTTCTTCTGGTTAATTGGCTGAGGGTTTGTCGGTCTTGTCCTTTTAAAGAACCAACTCTTTGCTTCATTGATTCTTTATATTAATTCATTACTTTCTGTCCTGAGATTAACCACACCCTGAGTTTTTGACTCCTCTTAGGGCCTTCTTGGTCTGGTATAGAGCACAAACCTTGCAAGAATGGAGCCCTTGGTTCAGTCACCACCAGGGGTGAGGGTGGGTGAGGGCTGTCAAAAAAAAAAAAAAAAGGGTAAACAACAACAAAAATCCCCCTACAAACAGAAAAATAGAATACTTACCCCTTTGTGACTGGACAAATTTATTTCCATTAGTATAATGTCCTCACAGGTCACACGTGTGATAGCGTGTGTCAGAATCCCCCTCTGTAAATGCTGGCTGCTACCATGGCTGTGTACATCTGCTTTCTACTCCCCTGCTGGTGGATGCTCAGGCTGTGCCCACCTTTTGACAACTGCAAAGAGTGTTAACATGAATGTATAGCTATCTCTTAGACACCCTGCTTTTGATTTGTTGGTATGTATACATATCATCCACAGGTAACACTGCGGGGTCACATGGCTGCAGCAACTCGATATCTATAAGAACAGCCAGTGTTTTCAACAGCAGCTGCAGCATTCTGTGCTCTGAGAACTTGTGCCCAGGAGTTCAAATTTCTCCACATTCTTTCCAACACTTGTTACCTTTTAGGTTTTCTGTTGTATTTTCTGTGGGTTTTATTCCTGTTTCTCTAATGAGTGGTGATGTTATGCATATTTTCATATTTTTTTCTTGACTATTCAAGTGTCTTCTGTGGAGGAAGGTCTCTTCAAGTCCCAGGAGACAGGGAAGATTGTGAAAGGACATGGGAAGGGAAAGGAGAGTCTCCTTCTAGAGTCTAGCTGAAGCCTCTAGCCAGCACTGTTAACATTGGCACAAGAAGTCAACACAGAAATAGTGTTTCTAATAGACATGGTATGTTAGCACAGCAGCAAACAAGCATGAGGCCCAGGTGCTTGTGACCTGGAGAAGTGTCTATTCTATTCCCAGACATTCTTGGGAAATCTCAAACATTAACTTTGTCCACAGTGAAGGAGACCTATCAATTGTCTTCCTGTCACATGCTCCCCAGGAACCACCCTGGGGTCCCATTTGGATTCCTTAACAACCCTTTGAAGATAAAAACCTCAAAACTCACCAGGCTGGTAGATACTAAATGACAACATGGCAGTGCTGTCTTTGAGAAACCCCCAACCCACGCAATCAGCTTCTTTTTTCCTCCTGAGTTCCTCCCCATTAACTCCTGCTTCAAAATCCATCTCAAAAAATGCCTGTGAGTAAACTCTAAGTCTGCTTCACATTGAATGTCCTGGGATCCTTTTCTGTGGCAAAGGAAAGGCCCTGCTTTCACCTGAGTAGAGGTCTCTGAGAACTCTCCAGGCTGCTGTGGGCACCAGCATGGAGCTGTGTCTCCATTCCTGTTGCCTCTGACACCTTGTCTATTTTGTGATTTGGCTGGTGGCTGGAATCTTTTTGTCTTGTCAGATTCTCACTGATGCATACTGATTTCCTCCTTGCTCACACAGAGAGAACCAAGGCTCTGGGGCAGAGAGTCTTGGTACACCCTCAGAAGCCCTACACCTGCCTGAGTCCTTTATGTGAGCCCTTCCAGATGCTTCATTGTGGCAAGTGCTTTGCATCTGCAACTCCTGCCTGGAGAGTCATGAGGCAGACATGAAGTGAACCCTCGTTGATAGGATGTGAAAGGACTGGAGTCAGTACAGGACGCCTCAAGACCAAGTTCTCACACAAAGGAGATTTATTTGTCCCAGAGGGACAAGGGCAGGGAATAAGAGACAAAGACAGGAGACAGAGGACCAGGAAGAAAGGAAAAGGAACAGGGGAGGAGTGATGGGATCATTGTCCTGGAGGGACAAAGACTGCCCCTGGATAGAGAGGAGACAGACATTGGCTCGTAGGCAATAAATGGCAGTTTATAAAGATAAAGGGGAAAACTCCATGTTTTAATTGACTATGTTAATGAGGTGAGCCAAAAGTGGCTTTTGATTGCTGGACTTCAATACTTTGGTAGCTGGACTTTGGTGGACAGTCTCCATAGAAGGAAGTAGCTTTATTTAGCCACTCGGTGGCCAGCTTTAGGACTGTAATCTAACAGTTTAGGAAGGAAGAGGGGGTTGGGGGGGGCAAGATCTGCTGGAGCCATGTTTGCCAACCTTAGGCCTGCAAGAGCCCTGAAATGCAGAGACCTGCCTGCCCTACAGATGCAGTTTCAGGATAGCTAAGCTTAGGCACTGAAGGAAACCACTGAAAACAGAAAGCTGGTAAAAACTATTTGAGAGAGAGGGCCATGTTGCAGCCCCAGCAAGAGGCAGAGCTTGGTATATGATTCTGGCTTTAGAGTCAAGGATGGAAGAAAGGGGCTATGGAATTTCTCTCTCTGACTAAGAAAAGCCACTGAGGCCAGGAATATGTCAGAGGTGTCCCTGTGTGCATGCCTAGGGAAGCCATTGTGTGAAGTTGTGAAGGTGAAGCCCGGATTTCCTTGGAGACCCCAAGATGTGGCAGATGCCAGTGTCATGGGACACCTGCCAAGGAGAGCTGCCAACAGGAAGTGGAACCAGCCCAAGGGAAAAGAGTGTGTTGCAGTCAACAACGCCGAAAGGAGTTGGAGATCTGAAGAGCGTCTTGACATCAGACATGGAGACGCAGAGTTAGGTTGCCCAGCTGGTTTTTGGTCTTGCTGTGGTCCAGTTCCTTGCTCACTATGCTGCCTCTCTTCCCTTTTGGAATGATAATGTATATTCTCTGCCATTGTATGTTGGAAGCATGTGATCTGCATTTTGATTTTGATTTTATGGGGCGTGATAACTAAGAAATTGTATGAGTCTCAAGATACTTTGGACTTTAGACTTTCAGACAGTGAGGAGACTGTTAAAGACGATGGAGACTCTGAAGTTGAACTAAACACATCTTGCATTATGACATTGCTACAAGCCTATAGGGACCAGGGAGTGGAGTGTGGTGGTTTGAATGAAAATGCCCCCATAGACGCATAAGAAGTGGCATTATTGGAAATTGAGTCCTTGTTGGAGGAAGTGTGTTACTTAGGGTGGGCTTTGAGGTTTCAGACGTTCAAGCCAGGCCCAATGTCTCTCTCTCTCTTCATGCTGTATACCTATCCAGATGCAGAACTCTCAGCCACCTCTCCAGCATTCATGTCTGCCTCATGCTATCCTGCTTTTCCTCCATGGCAATAATGGACTGAACCTCTGAACTCTAAGCCAGTCTCATGGTGTCTCTTCACAGCAATAGAAACCTTAAGACACTGGGGACCCAAAAGAGGGGCTGGGCCTGTGAAGGATTGAGGAGGTCAACCCTAGGGAGCCCCCATACTACCTAACTCTGTCTCCCAGCTTCCTGTGCTGTCAGGATACCCATGTGACTGAGTCCTACCAAGGACACATGGCATAATGGGCACACACTCTCTCCCACCATTCCACAAGCCTCCCTTCTCTTCCATGGAGGGGTTCAGACCCTGAAGAAAGACAGGACCAGGAGAAGGAAGGCTGTAGGTCACTGGATATCCATCTGGGAGGCTGTCCATTGATCAAAATGTTGGATATACCTATATGAGAAAGAACTCTTCTATTGAATGAACATTCAATGCCTAGCTCTGAACCCAGCAGGAAGCAGTGATCTTCTGCATGACCAACCAAGTCAGTGGGGGCATTGGGGACAAATTCCAGGCTTTTCTGTTCATATTTGTGTAGCTGCCCCCCCCAAGTCTTGTATCCACCCATAGGGTGACCTTATACAAGTCTCTTTATATTTAAATGCCAAACCTTCTCCATTAAATGGCACAGGTCATAGTGCCCATTCTATCTCACAGTGACACAGATGACAAGGAACTAAGGCAGACAAATGTTGGTAAACATTTATTTTCCCAGAAGTAGGAGAGGAGGCGGGTCTCAGGGCACTTGAGGCTCTGCGTATGGGCAGTGGGCAGACTAGCACTAATGGTGCTCCTGGTCAACAGATGTTCCTCCTGGGTTCTGGAGAGACATGAGCCCTGGACACAGCTGTGGCTGGTAGTGTCAGTCCCCATAGCTTGGATCAAGCCCTCCATGTTCCCATCTTCTGCCAGCTGAGGCTCAGAGAGGTAACACACTGTCTTCAGGGTCACACAGTCCAGTCACTCCAGAGGAGCAAGCAGCTTTATTCCCCCACCCCCAGGACACTGCTGTCCCCAGGGAAGCACAAATGAATCTTAAATCTTTGGCCTGGTCCCAACTATCCAAGAATAATTCCCAACCAAGCTCTTTAATTTAACTATGCCACCCACTGACGTTACCACAGCCAGCTGCTTTCTGAGGACAAGAATGTATGGCCCTCCCTGACCCCAGTTCCTAAAACTCTCCAATTCATCTACTTGGCTTCCTACATATTTATCCTCTTTTCCTATATAAATATAACTACAGCTTATAATACCAAGCCATGGTAGTCACTGACACCATAGCACAAATTTGATTATCAGCGGTTCAGTCAAGTAGTCGGGAGAAGAAGAGTGAGGAAGAAAAAGTAAAAGACCCAACATATGGTTAAAGAGGGATGGAAGGCAATTCCTGGTAAATTTATGGTTTCACAGTTGACTTACATAGCCCTTTTCTAACAGCTCGAGACTCTGTGTATCGAGACTCCTGTATCTAGGGATGGGGGAAATATTACTTCTATTGATGGAGTCTGCAGCTCCTTTTACAATTCTGATTATGACCCATGCTCTGTGCTCCCTGCCCCATGGCCCAGTGCTCCTTGCCCCACACTGGAGACCAAGAGACAGGAGGAGCTCTGGTAGGGACCTTGGCCTAACTCCAAGGCCTGGTGGACAAGCATGAATCCCTGAGAATTCTACAGAGAGAAGGTAGAGGCTAGGTGGGTGCCCACTGGGACTGATTGAAGCCTGGGAGTTGCGTGGCACTGGACGAGTACCAGTGGCAGGAATAACATTCTGAGTATCAGCAACCTCACAGGAGGTGCAATTGGGTCTTCCTTGGGCTGGGGAGAGATCTGCAGGACCAGGACACCAAAGCAAGGGGCGTGGCCTCACCTAAAGCAGTGTGGAGGGGATGCTGGGAGAGGGAGGGCCTGAATGTGCTCCCTCAGCTGCCATGTTGGAAGAGGATGGGTAAGATGGGATGGAGGGGAGATGGAGGGACAAGAGGCCTGACGGAGTGACAGCCCAGGGCACGGTGGTGAGCGAAGGCAGCATTGTTGGCAAGGCTCTCGCTGGGATGGCAGTAGGATAGGGCTTGCTGGGCCTTCCTGGAGTGGTCACGCCCATGGCCACCAGGCCCTCCTCACTAGGCCAGCTTACGGAGAATCCTCTTCACCCAAAGCAGCCTGGGGTCGGCACAGATATCGCGGTTCTTGAGGGTTATCAAACTGGAAGAGACGTCAGGGAGTAAGTAAGCATTCGTGGGCTAGTAACCACAAGGACAGACTCTGGAGCTGGCCTGTCTGGACAGGATTCTAGCTTTGCTCCTTGTTAGTAAGTCAGTTAACTTCTCCGAGCCCTGGTTTCCACATCTGTAAAATGGGGTGACAGTTTTGCCCAGCTGTGTGAGATTTTGATGAAACTGTGATTGTACATTCTGACAGACAGGGGCTAGAGCACACAGTAGGTGCTATATAATTGTGTCAGAAGATGAACTCGACTTTTTGTTTTTGTCTCGTGTGTGTGTGTGTGTGTGTGTGTGTGTGTGTGTGTGATATATGTGCACAGGCATGTAAAGACCAGAGGTTAACATAGAGTGTCTCCCTCACTTGCTATCCATCTCATTTTTAAATAAAGTTCACTGAACTTGAAGTTCTATTCAGCTAGATTGCCTGGGCAGAAAGGCCCAGAATATTCCTGTCTCCTCCTCCCCAGCACTGGGTTACAGGCACATGCTCCCTCATCTGAATTTGGGTCTTTGCACTTGCTCAGCAAGCACTTTCCTGACTGAGCAATTTCCCCATCCCCTTATACAATGGCTTCCTTAATTCTTGCAACAACTCCATGTATCCCTGTCCTACCCACAGATGATAGGAAGTTTGGCTGAATAGAAGAAGGAGTAAAAACACGTGTGGGGTGGGGGTGGGCTGTGACTTTAAAGAACATCCCTTCCAGGCCTCTTTGAGAGTCCTAGAGCACCTGGTGGAGAAATAGGTTTTCCTGTGGTGATGGAAGAGTCAACCATCAGTTGACAGCGTCTGGATCACTTTGGAGACCTCTGGGCATGCCCCTGGGGATATCTTATTTTAAGTGATGTGAGAAGACCCATCTTGATTGTGTGTGGGGCTCTCCCTTGGGCATTAGAGCCTGGATATCATAGAGACACAAGCTGAGAATTTCCATTCATCCCTCTGTTTCCTGACTGTGGATGAGATGTGGCCAGCTGCTTCTGGGTCCTGCCACCTGGATTTCCCTGCCCCAACAGCCCTAACCTTGAACTGTGAGCTAAAACACACCCTTCCTCCCCTAAGCTGTGCTTGTCAGAGTATTTTACCACAACAATTAGCAAAGAAACTCAGACACCCAACAAGCCTGTGGCCCAAGGCTCCTGCCCTGTCCAGCTGCAGCAAGTATTAGGCATAGGCGCTGAAGCTGTGGTTGGCAAGGTGGGTACAGGCTGGCTTGTTGTGGGGCCTCTGCTCCTGTTCCATAGCTGCATCCCAATAGTCCTGCCATACAGCTGACAGCTGCGAGCTGCTGATGCCCCACATCCCTGACATGCCCTGTACCACAGAGCCCGAAGACAACAGCAACACTGAGCTCAGCTTTTTTTATTTTTTTTGAGACAGGGTCTCTCCCTGATTGTCCTGGAAGTCATTCTATAGTCTAAACTAGCCTTGAATTCACAGATAACTACCTGTATCTGCCTCCAGAGTGCTGGGATTAAAGAAGCCAGCCTGAGCATGGCTTCTTGGGCATCTTATACCAGGCTGGTCCCTCCCTGTGTGTCCATCTCCCCATCTGTCAAGCTGTTTTCTTTATAGAGTCCCTTCAGGCTCAGAGTCAAAGGATCACTAAAGTCGTCCTTCACTGAGCATCTCCTGTGTTACAGGCCAGAGTTCTGTGACTTCCACCTGCTGTAGCTGCCCTGTGATGCTGAAGAGACCCGTAAGCTCGGGCCACCTCCTCAGTGTGCAAGGACACCAGACAGACTGTGATTGCTGCACAGGGCTGTTTCTAGCTAAGGGTTATGTGCCTCATCCCAGCACACACACTTGGGAAACAGGGGGTCATGGCTCCACTGAAGTGATGGGAAACAGTCTCAACCCTGAAGAGGCTAGAGCTTTGGGGGGGATCCTGCTCCACACTTCTCCAGCAGACACCTGTAAGAGATGGAGTCAGAGGCCTGACAAATGGGGAACCTGCATAAGACCAAACTAGACTCCCTTAATATAGGTGACAGTGGAGTGACTGGGACAATGTATGAGGCCACTGGCTCAAGATCTAACACTAATGCACAAACTGACTTAGTGGAGCCCATTCTATATGAAGAGATAGCTTGCTCAGCCTAGACACAGGGGTCTGCGGGGTAGAGAGGTGCCTTGATCCTGCCTCAGTGAGATGATGGGACAGACTTAGTACACTTCCTAGGGGAGGTCTTACCCTTTCCAAGGAGCAGATAGGAGGTGGAGTGCGGGGGGGGGGTCAGTGGGAGGAGAGGAGGGAGAGGGAACTGGGATTGGAATGTAAAAAATAAATTAATAAAAAAGAGACTTAAAAGAGATGGAGTCAGCTATGGGAGGAAGGAGCGAGGACATAGAGCCCAAGGGGTGGGGATGACCCCAAATGCAAGAACCATCCAATAGGTGATGGGCTGGAAGCAGACTCTGAGGGGTTAGAAGCAGCCAGATGGGCTACCACAGAACAAAAGGTGGAGAAATTTGGGTTACAGAACAGAGAATTACAAGAGAAAACTCCTTCCTGGACACAGGAGCTCCTGCTGCAGCCTGGGAAACCTTGCCCCAAGCTCTTTACTGAGCCTGCTTCCATTCCTCTGCTGAGCCCAAGTCCTCTTATCTTTCCTGAACCTGGGTCCTTTTCTGTTTGCTGAGCCTTTGTCCCTTCCCTTTGCTAAGCTTGGGTCTCACCTATGAAATGGGCTAACCTCAACGTAGAATCGCTTCAAAGACTGAGTCACAAAGATGGTACTCAGAATAGCTTGGCACATGGGCAGCCATCTATAGTTGTTAGCATAGACCAAAATGGCTACCTGGAAGAAACCCAGGGGACTGGGAGGCCCCAGACTGTCTCAGCAGGGAGTGACTCTAGGCATGCTGTTTGTATCCCTATACCCACACTACTTCTCACCACCAACAGTCTGTGGCTATGTACTGCTCACATGTCCATGCCATGCTGGGGTGGTAGCCATCTATTCAGCTGCCGTCCTCAAGCCTGGAATGTTACAGTGTTCAACAATCATTTTTTTGCTGAATGATACCATCCTTTTTGGAGTTCAGAGCTCCCAAGCCTGCCTGAACCATCCCATCCAGCCAAGCCTCCTTTCATTGGAGTTCAATACATCCTGCCTACTCTTGAGCCACATCTGTCAGGCCCCTCCTCCAAAGCCCTGTAGCCCAGCTCCCCACTCACACTACGCCAGGCTTGCGGCAGGACTTTGAGGTCCAGAAGAACTCCTTCACTACACGTGGCGGCAGCGGGTAACGGATGTAGTCCTGGCAGCAGATGCTGTCTTCCACATTAGCACCATAGGGACCTGGTGGAGGGGTGCCCAGGGCATGTTAGCTGGAGCGCAGAGAGGTGAGCCCCAGCCCTGATCGAAGACTGACCTATAGGGAAAGGTTCTCTTCCACACCGATGGATATCTTTTCGGCCTCATACAGAGATGTCACTAAGGCCCCAATATCTACACTCTGGGGCAGTCAGCTCCAGGAAATGGATTCAGAATGACTGCGCACCAACAGGCTTCTAAATGAGGGTCCTGAACCTCTGAGCCAGAGGGAGCTCCAATGTTCACCTTGGATCAGTGAGTGGACTGTAACACCAGCTTCCCAGGTGCTTGTCGGATGCTCGGCCCTACTCCAGACCCACCAACCTCACACATGCAACACAGAATTAGAAATATCTTCCTCTTCTTTGTGCCCCGATGAGGCACAAAGGGGAAGGCAAGCATCCACAGTCACAGTGAGACCCTAGCAGAGTCAGATCAAGGCTTAGACAGATGACAGTAACAGCACAGACCTGGTTCGAGCCCCATTCTGTCCCTGAGTGACATTTGCTGTCATTTCCAAGACCCATGAAAGAAAACCAGTTCCATAGGATTTTGCTACGCGGAGGCTCTCCAGAAACTTGATACTGTGAGCAACAACTGGCTGGTAGTTGCCTCAGCACTCCTGCCCATCCCAAAGCAGGGGTGTTGATAGCATGATGGAAAGGAGGGGTAGGACCTGTGTCAACCGCAGGCTCCAGAGCAAACCTTGGGTGTTGGGATGGCAGGACAGCTTTCTAAGAGAGTCTCTACCTTCCCCAGCTCAAACCTGATGCCTTGTGGACCCTGTATCCATTTTTCAAGAGCCCCTATGCCTGAGCTGTCTGGGCAGTAGGATCCCCAGGCCTTCCATACCACAACCCCCAAACCAACTGAGGCAGATCCTAAAAGCCAAGCCTTTCTAGGTACCCTGTTTATAAATGGGTATATCAGTTTATAAATGGTATGGCCCATTTAGAAGTAGTAGTGCTAGTCCAGGGAAGCACCAGAGGTAGCCCAAGGCCACGAGAGCCAACTGCAGAATCACTCTGGGACTCTTTCCCAACAGACACTCTAGTGTCTACCTGCCTACTCTCCAGCCTCACCTGCATCCGATGTCTGAAGTTCCACAGCAAGAAAGATGAGAGCCACGAGAAGCAGAATCCGCAGGCTGGCCATGCTGTATCTATCCTCACCAGGTGTGTAATGGCCAGGGGACAGGGAGTCCTGGTACTTAAGTGCTCTCTCCACCCACTGGTTCTGACATCTCTTAGTCATCACCAAGCCTGACATTCATGCCCTAAAAGAAGAAGTCCTACTTCCCCAGATGGGAGGATCCAAAGGCGGGGAACTACTCAGAGGGGACTGCCACTCTCCCAAACTGTGGGTCTCCAGAGACTTGTAAAGTCCCCTCAGTGGTGCTCTCCAGAGGCTGCTTGCCCTATGACCTCAGCCATGTCGTTAGGGGTCTTGGAGAGGGACTTCTCTTGGTAGAGATGGGGAGCCAGGCGAAGCCGGCACTGCCCACCTCAGTGGCTGTTGACACACAGACAGCACACACTGCCTGGAGTTGCGGCCTTCTTCATGCCTCAAGACCGGGCATCCGCACCCCTTTCAAAGGTAGAGGCCCATGAGTCCCTTGAGTCAGGCTTCTTGCCATAATGTGACTTTTCTAGGGCTTCTCAGAAAACTCACCTGACTCAGAGGGGGCTGCTCCTCAGCTTTCACAGAATCTGAACCTTCTCAGGCTTTCCTTGCCCGCCTCATCTCCCCCTCCTGTGGTCCCACTGATTTACCTGCTTTAGATACAGCCCCGTGTCCCCAGTCCCATCCAGCTCCACTGCCTGCGTGGACACCAGCAGATTCCCCTGCCCACGCTGCGGCCGGCCTGAGTGAGTGTGCAGACTCGGAAGGTCTCGTGGCCCTTTCCTACTGGGACTCCCCATTCACCTGGGGGCCAAACCCAGACACCTGACTAGAACCTTCATGGCCACTTATCTGAAACAATTCCCCACAGCCAGAGAGACCACACCACACTAACAACAGTTCCTCAAAGAGGTTATGTGGCTGACCCTGACTAGATTTCCACTTTCTACTTCTCTACTGCAGAAACTCCTACTCAAACATCAGGAGCCCTTTGAAATGTCACTTGTTTAGTAAGCCCATCCTCAGGACTTCATTCTCCCAAGTAACCTGGAATGTGGTCCAAGAGGAGCCAGCAGGAGACTGCCTTCTTATAAGTGCAGGAGAGCCAATCCCTTCAACCTGTTGAGCTGCCTGCTGCTGTCTGTGTTCGCCAGGTTCCCACTGTGCCGGGGTGGGCTTTGGTGATGCAGCTGTCTTTGAGTCATTTTGCTCCTGTTAGGAACCCCTCACCCATATTCCTGTAAGTAACCTTCCAAAAACTCATTGTTCACCAAGATGGACCTTCGCAGTACCCACACTTTAGTCTGTCTGTGGGCTCCCTCTCTGGACTGAGCAGCTGTGAATGTTGCATCTCCCCAGGAAAAGTCTTGTCACATAACATTTGGCAAAATGAATGGCAGCCACAGTTGCAAACACCTGAGCATGCCTAATGCTGCTGAATGCACTTCACATAGTTTGAAATACCAAACACATGTTGTGTGTTGCGTATTAGAAATGTGGCCCTCTCCAAGTCAAACCAAGCTTCCAGTACTAATTTCTAACTAGAGAAAATACAGGCATTGGATGTGGTGGCTCACACTTGTAATCTCAGCTGCTGGGGAGGGTGAAGAAAAGGGTTGTAACGAGTATGGTTTTTTCTGCCCTCCACCGCTGGTCTTGTCCCGCCGCCGTGCCAGCCCCAATTAACACACAGAGACTCTGTATTAGATATTATACTGTTGGCCCGGTTACTTGTTTCTTATCGGCTAGCTCTGCCTTAATTATTAACCCATTTCTGCTGATCTATGTATTTCTCTTACCGGGGAGTCTGCTCTCTCCAGACTCTCCATCTTGGCTCCCCTTACTACTTCCTCTTTCCTCCTTGTCTCCTAGTCCCTCCTATCTTCCTTTCCTATTGGCCAACAGTGCTTTATTATTAACCAGTATGAGAAACATATATACATAATGGCATCTCCCATCAAAGGGTTGCTTAGGCCATGAGTTCAAAACCATCTGGGCAGGCTAGTGAGACCTAATATTTAACAAAACAATAACAAAAACTGGGAGAAAATAAGTTACCCCGCAAAAACCATTTGCCAGTCCCCAAAGGGTCTTCAGATCTTCAATCAGCTGTCCCAGATTTCATTGTGTGTGTTGTGTGTTTATGTGTGTACATATACATATACGCTTCAAAAATTAGGGCTGGTCATGGTGGCCCAAACCTGTAATTCTAGCACTCAGAAGGCTGAGGCAGGAGGACCCCTGTGAGATTGAGACCAGTAATGACCCTATAACACAAAGCTGGGGTTGTGGGGATGGTTCAGTGGACAAAGTACCTGTTGTGGATGTGTGAGGACCTGAGTTTTAGTTCCCCAGACCCACAAATGGCAGACACTTTACTGCAATCCCAGCACTCCACGGTGAGAGGGGAAGTGGAGCCAGGAGGATCCCTGGAAGCTAACCTGGCTCACGAAGTGATGAACTGGAAACCCTGTCTCAAACAGGGTAGGAGGTGAGAACCAACGCCCAATACTGACTTCTAATAAAGACCTTGAGAAGCTGGGTGTGACTCACTGACAATCTCAACATCTGGGTGTTAGACAAAAGGATCACCAGGGGTTTGAAGCCAGCCTGGGCTATACAGTGAGCTCTATGGGTAAGCATGGACTAGATTTAGACCCTGCTTCAAAATAAATAAGTAAATAAAACAAAACCAAAGACCTTCTAGAAATAATTGGGGAAATTTGAATACAGGCTGGTTTAGATGCAATTGTGTCTTAAAGTAGATTTGCTTCATGCATTGAAGACTTCCAAGTGTGTAAGAGATGCTCTTGTTCCTAAAGGAGGCGCACTGAGATATTGAGGAGTGAGAATCATAATTTCTGAGTTTGGGGGAATATATGGTGGTAAATGTAGTATGTGTATGTGACATCTTTGGTTGTGATATCAAACACACACCATGTATACCGTTGATATAGAGAGGATTGTACACATGTTTTATAGCCATAGACGCATGTGTGTGCATAAATGCATATGTGGACATGCATGTGTTTGTCTAGAGGGGAAACAAGGCCAAAATCAGCAAGAATAACCTGCTAACAATGGTGGGACTTGGTCACATGCTGAACTAGTCTAACAGCACACTTGACCATTATACCTGTATCTAATTGAGCTTGGTGATTTACTCCTGTAGACCCAGCACTTAGGATGCTGGAGCAGAAGGATCAAGAGTTTGAAGATAGCCTGGGCTACATAATAAGACCCTATCTCAAAAGCAAAAAAACCCAAAAAACAAAGCTCTCTTATGACTTTGTTTTGAGGCATGGTCTTGCTGTGAAACCAGACTGGCCACTACCTTGCAGCCACTCTACTGCCTCTGTCTCTTGGGTGCTGGGATTACAGGTATGTATCACATGGTTCACACCAAGAAGTGTGTGTGTGTGTGTGTGTGTGTGTGAAATAGAGTCTCATTATATTGTCTAAACTATTTCAAACTTCTGAACTCAAGTGATTGTCTTGCCTCAGCTAAAAAATATTTCTTTAAAATACTTTCTTATTTATTTATATTTATTGGGAATATGGAGGCAGGATCTATGCTTCCATGTAGATTCTGGGAATCAATCTCTCTCTAGTCATCAAGTTTGGCTGCAAGCACCTCTGCCCTTTGAGCCATATCACTGGCCCAGGAATTATTTTTGCATATGAAACTCCTCTATCGTAAGAGCACTGTAAGCAAGTAATGCTGGGGCTTTCTTACAGGGCCTCTTAGGGCTCAGGGCCCTCCATGTTGTGTCTGGGGGTCTCCCCGTGGAGAACACCTGGGTCCCCAGAGACTTGGCAGGCCCCAGAACTCTCATCCTGGCCCAACCTGGGGGCTCAGTGCTGACCCCATCCCCCTGCCCTGGGCACACCTGCAGTCTGGCAACTTCTGCACTACCAGGGTTCTTGGCCTCCCTGACTGGAGGAGGGGCAGATACGGAGCTAAAGGAGCCCTGACACGGGTCAGAGCACAGGGCATGGGGATGAGCTTTCAAGAGAAGGAGGGGGAGTTCTTGGGGCTGCGTGTGGTAAAGCAGGACACATAGTGGCCATAGGCATAGGGGTGGGGCTCTGATGATGAAGGGGCTGATCTTTCCTCCTCCTGCTGGCCACACTGCCTCACTTTGTACCTTACAAGATGTAGAATCTCCTAGACAATCCTCTTGTCTCAATCTCTCTTTTTTGTTTTGTTTAAAACAATATTTGTTTTGGAGAAAGGGTCTCACTATGGAGACCTAGCTGGCCTATGTAGACTAGTCACTATGTAGACTAGGCTGACCTCAAACTTGCATTGCTCCTCCTGTCTCTGCCTCCAAAGTATTGGAATTATAGTCATGTGCCACCATTTCAAGCTCTCAATTAATTTTTATTTATTAAAAAACTTAAAGCAGGAGTGGGGTGTGGTGGCACACACCTTTAATCCCAGCACAGGAGAGACGGTAACAGGAGAAGCTCTGTGACTTTGAGGCCAGTCTGGTCCACATGGTGATTTCCAGGACAGTAAGGACTATCCTGCCTAAAACACAAACAATAACAACATCAAAACCATAAAGCAGAACCTGGTGGCATGTACCTGTCATCCCAGGTGCTTAGGAGGCTGAGGCAGGAGGATTGCTTGAAGCCTGGGAGTTAAGGATCTGCCCGGGCATCTAGCAAGACTGCAGAGTGATGGAGGAGATGAATCTGGGGAGAAAACTTAGCAAAGTGCTTGCTGAACAAACATGAGGACCTAAGTTCAGATTCCCAACACCTGAGTAAATAGCCAGTGACTGGGCATGTAGAAAAAGGAGGCTCCTTGGGGCTTGCTAGCCAGCTGGTACAATCTAGTCAAAGCCATAAACTCCAAGTTCAGTGATAGACCATAACTCAAAAAATAAAGTGAGGGCTAGAGAGACGGTGGCTCAGATGTTAAACTGCACACTCTCTTGCAGAGGATCGGAGTTCAGCTTCCAACATTCACATCAGGTGGCTCACAACCACACGTACCTCCAGGTCAAGGAGATCAGATGCCCTCTTCTGGCCTTTTGGG